CCGGCTCTCGGGCGCCCCCTGTTGGTGATGTTGAGTGCCGTCAAGGCGACTCCGACTCCTAGCGGACAGAGGAGAAACTGCCCCAGAGGGTTTTTCCCGGGCTGTCATCTTTAAGGGAGCAGATCGCGGAGGGCCGAGCCTTTAACCATTGCCCCATTGGCGCAGAGCGGATCCTGAGTTCACCCCCAAAGCTGCCTGGGACAGGTTGCTCTGGCTTCTATAAGTCTGTGCTTCTGTAAGGCGAGGTGGCCTGCCCCGGCCTGGGACAGGGACCAGGGGCTGGCCTCAGAGCCCTAAGATCCTGGAGAGGGACCCTAGGCCGCCTGTTCCAATTTACCCATCACCCCAAGATATTGGGGTGTCCAAGCTCCCAGTCTTGCCTCCCTCAGAGCCAAGAATCCAGGCCTCCAGCCCCCTCCTCTCTCAGACACCAGGCCTTGGGCTCCTGGCCCCCCTTTTCCCCCAGATGCCCTTTTCTCAGGACCAGTGGCTCCCAGCCTCAGCCAACGGTCCACAGGCCCTTCCTCACTCTAGGACCCACATAGTCAGCATCCAACTCTTCTTCCTCAGAAATCCAAAGCTTCACCCTTGTCCACCTAAATCTTGGGGTTGAAGGAAACGGGTCCCCGGGACCTAGCCCACCCAAGGGCAAACTCAGACCCTAGCTACCCCAAGGAGCCTCCACAGCCCAAACTCCTAGGCCTGCTCCAGAATTTTCCTTATACATACACACACATGCACCCTCTTCTCTCTCCCCACCCTCACGGGAGTCCAGGGCTCAAGGTCCCACTTCACCTCAGTACATGGAGAGTGTGGAGAAGGGCCGATCCCCACAGTTAAAGCAGAAGGGGCTGACGTTGCCTAGCCTGACAGGGGAGCCTAGGCTAGGGTCTGAATTGCTGTGTCCGGGCCGGCAGACACTACAGGCCTCCTGGTTTTCTGAACACCATGGGTGATGGGGGCCAGGGCCCCTAGGAAAAGAAGGGGTACAGAAGTGTTGGTTTCCTCCTGGGGCTGAGTGGACTTGGGTCCTGAGGATGGACACCTGGGACTCTG